CAAATTTTACATTAACCAGCAGAAAATAGTGCACCATTACATTTCAGTGCCAAGAAGAGAATTATCAGTGCACAATAATCACCAGTGAGAAACATTCACCACCAAATATATTTAAATATATAGATTAAATGTCAAAAATGAATGAACTGCAAGGATCAAAACAATAAATGTTTGGATCCAGAGTTTCTTTAGTTTCTGTTTTGTATTATTGTATTTCTTGCCAACAATAAATATGTTCTGCTAATATTTTGTTCCTACTTATTTTGACAGCTTTAGAAAAGTGGATATAAATTCCTTGAATTGTTTTTAATTATTCGACCAGTATAACTATTTGGGAGATTTCATGCTTAACTCTAACCAGTCTTGTTATAAAAAGCTCAGTGCTCTATTTATTAGTTGTATGATGCCATTGTTACCACACATTTTTCTATGTGATAGCATGGCAGTAGTGTACAAGCAGAGACGAAGACCTGGGGAAATTGCATTGAGCTACCAATGAATAACTCAGATATTTTCGGATTGCCATACGACTAGTTTTGGATCAAACATTTAAGTTTTCCACTAACAAATTATTAAGTATTTAAGAGCAGAAATATTTTGTTTTCCCTGTATCGAAACAAACTTCAATCTTCAAACAGAAGACACGATCATGCCTCTGTTTAGTTTTGACTTTGGTAAAAGCTCTTTTCTGAATTCCAGATTTGCCTATTCTAATGAACTCTTCGCTGGTCTCATACAACTAACCTCCACAAACTTCAGATCATCCAAAACTAGAATTCTCTACCTTACCAAGCATCAGGCCCCAGTCACCTATCATCCCTCTGCTAACTGACTGTAACCGGCTCCCTGTCAAGCAACATATTGATCTTCAAATTCTCAGCTACTTTTAAATCTGTCTGTACCTTCACCCCTCCCTAATCTCCGCCAGCCCCACAACTCTTCCAGATGTCTAGGCTCAGCTAATTCTGGCTTCTTGAGCATCCTCAAATTTAATTATTTCGCTATTGGTTACCATTTCTTGAACTGCCTGAACCCTAAGCTCCAGAATACTCTTCCAACACCTCTCTGCCTCCTTCCCACACTTTCCTCTAAGTCAGTCTTCAAAATTTGTATCTTTGATCAAGCTTTTGGCATATGACCCCATATCTCATTTTGTGGCTTGGTGCTATAGGACACCTTATGAGAACGCTTCAAAGATATAAATTTTCATTGTTATTTCATTCCCACAGTTTACAGAGGTTTTTTTTTTCAGCCTGTAATCCTAATGAACACACAGAAGTGCTGTTATACACTTGTACAACTTCTTTTTAAAGGTATTGCTGTTATCCTTATTTCACAATATGTGAGGCCATGTGCCCCTTTTCATTTGATATGATGACTGTTTGCAAATAATCAATTATAAAATATGCATTTCCAATCCAATTTCATCGTAATGAAAATGTCCAAGACCCTTGACAGGAACATTCTAGGACAAAATTTGCACTGATTCATAAAAGGACATATTAAAAAAAAACACATGTCCAAAACAATCAGCCAGTCAGACAGCATAAGCAAAGAAAGTATCTTCCAACTCTGTTCTGATAAATGATGACATTCTTTTCTAATTACTTGCTGTACCTTCATACTAACCATTTGCAATTCATACACTAAGACACCCAAATCCCTTTGCATATCAGAGCTCTACAATCTCTCACCATTTAGATAATATGTATCTTGCTTTTTCTTGCCAAAATAGACAATTTCACATTTTCATGTGCTAATACTTTTGCCAGATCTTTACCCACTCACAAATTATCTTTATCACTTTGTAGCCTCCTTGTGTCCTCCTCATAACAGAATTTTCTACTTTTCTATGTGTCATTGGCACATCTAGCAACATCACTTTTGGTCTCTTCATCCAAATCATTTTTATAAATTGTAGACTTGGAGATGATGTCCCAGTACTGATCCTCAGGCATACAACTTGTTACATCTTGCCAATCAAAAGATGAGCCTTTTATGCCTACTTTTTAGTTCCTGTTAGGTAGTCAATATGCTACTCTCATATCATGAGCCATTTATTTCCTGCAATAAATTTTGACATGGCATCATATCAAATACCTTCTGGAAATCCTAATACAATTCACCAGTTCCCTTCTATGCACAACACATGTTACTTTCCCAAAGAATTCCAATAAATTGATAAAACATGATTTCTCTTTCAAAACATCATGTTGATTCTGCTGGTTAGCTTGAACTAAGTGTCTTACGATAAGATCTTTAATAACAGTGTCTAACATCTCTATGTGACAGAGGTTAATCTCATTGGCCTGTAGTTACCTGCTTTATGAGTTTGTCACTTCTTGAATAACAAAGATTCATTTGCTATTGATCTCCCAACCACCACCCCTCCGTGCTCTCCTCCTCCACATCACCCACTGCCTCCAAGCTGATGGATCCCAGCCATGCACAGCTCACTTCTACTTCCTTCCCAAAATCCACAACCAGGACTTCCTAGACAGACTGATTGTTTCTGCCTTGTCCTGCCCCATAGAACTCATTTCTTCCTACCCGACTCAATCTTTTCTCCCCTTGTCCAGCTCTTTCCCATTTGCATCGCAATTTCTCTGATGCTTTATGTCAGTTTCAGAATTTTTCAGTTTGAGAGCTCCAGCTGCTTCCTCTTTATCATGGACATGAAATCCCTTTACACATCCATCCCCCATCAGGATGGCGTCAGGGCTCTCCGCTTCTTCCTGGAAAAAAGACCTGAAACATCCCCATCCACCACCACCATCCTCCACTTGGCCGACCTTGTCCTCACTCTGAGCAATTTCTCTTTTACCTCCTCTCATTTTCTTCAGGTCAAAGGCGTGGCCTTGGGTACCTACATGGGTACCAGTTAAGCTGTTTGCTTTGTGGGGTACATGGGACATTCCTTGTTCTAATGCTATCATGGCCCCCACACATAACTCTTCTCTTGATGGGATTATCAGCGCTGTTTCCCTCTCTCATCCAGAATTGGAAAAGCTTATCAACTGCACTTCCAATTTCCACCCCACTCTCACCTTCACCTGGTCCATCTCTGACTCCTCCCTTCCCTTTCTCGACAGCTCTGTTTCCATTTCTGGTGTTAGGCTGGCCACCAATAGCCACTACAAACCGAACAACTCCCACAGTCACCTTAATTATACATCCTCACTCCCTGCTTTCTGTAAAGACACTATTCCATTCTCCACTGCATCTGTTCTGATGATGCCAACTTCAACAAGGGGACCTCCGAAATGTCTACCTTCTTCCTCAACTAAGGACTCCCCAGCACCGTAGTTGATGGCCTTCAGTTGGGTCTGGCTTATCTCCCACACTTCAGCCCTCACCCCTTCTCTTTCCTCCCACAACAGGGATAGGATTCCACTTGTCCTCCCTACCATCCCACCAGCATCCACATCCAAAGGATCATTAACTGCCATTTCCAACACCTCAAGCGGGATACTACCATTAAACACATAGTCCCCTCCCCTCCTGTGTCAGCCTTCCGCAAGGACCATTCCCTTCGGGGCATCCTGGTCCACTCCTACTTCACTCCCAACACCCACTCACATTCTCACAGCATCTTCCCCTACAACGGCAGAAAGTATAACATCTGTCCATTTACTTCCTCCCTCCTCACCAGCCAAGGGCCCAAACACACTTCTCAGGTGAAGCAGCGCTTTACCTGCACTTCACTCAATCTAGTCTTCTGCATTCGCTGCTCACAATATATTCTCATCTAAATTGGGGAAACGAAGCATAGACCGGATGACCACATTGCAGAACACCTACATTCTGCTCGCAAAAATGTCCAACCTTCCAGTTGCCTGCCACTTCAACGTGCCCTTGTACCCTGCCCAACATCTCCGTCTCAGGATTGTTGCAGTGCTCCAGTGTAGCTCAGTACCTCATTTTCCACTTAGGAAATCCACCACCTTCTGGACTCAAAATGGAGTTAAACAATTTTAGGGCTTGAGGTACCTTAGCCCACATCCTTACCCTAACCCCTACACACCATGCCTTGTTATGACATGGTTTACTGTTACACACGACCCATTGTTAGCCACTAACAGTCCCCAATAGCAGCTACTGATTTTCCCAAGCTGACCATTATTTGCTCCTTTATCTGTTCAACTATTCTTGTCTCTCTTTGGGCTCTATCTCCATCTATCGTTTACTCCTTAACTCCTCTCCCCCCCCCCCCCCCCCCCCCCCCCCCCCCCCCACTTTTTCCTAAAAAACCAACTTTTTCCTAGTAGGTTTGAAGAAAGTTCACTAGACCTCAAATATTAACTCTGCTTTCTCTCCATGAATGCTGCCAGACCTGCTGAGTTTTTGCAACAATTTCTGTTTTTGTTTCTGATTTCTAGAATCAATAGTTCTTCTGGTCTTTCATTTGCTATTATCTAATCTAATGGAATCTTCCTCAAATGTTGGAAACTTCACAAAATTAAAACTAATATCTCAACTATCTCACTGTTCTTTTAAGACCTCAGGATAAAGTCCATCAGAACCTGAGTAATTATCAGCATATAGCTCCAACAATTTACTCAGTACTGGTTCATTGATGACTTTAATTTTCTTAAGTTCCTTCCTCCCTTCCATTTACTGATTTACAGCACTTACTTGGATATTACCTGCACCCTCTTATTGGATAGACCAATGCAACATAGCTGTTCGATTATTTTGCCAACTCTTTATTTTTCATTATTAATTCCCTTGACCCACTTTCTATAGGACCTGGTATATCTTTTCCTTTTCAAATATCCACAGAAATGCTTACTATGTCTTTTATATTTCTAGATAACTTTCTCTCATACTTCATTTTCCCCTCTTGATTAATATTTTAATCATCCAACGTCTTTTTTAATATTCTGTCCAATCTGTATTCAAAACAATATATACTCACTGTGCTGGTGTGTCATTTGCCTGTGCTAAATCGCTGATTCTTGATTTATGCTGAAAAATAAACTTTCTCGTTATTTAATTACCTGTCTATGATAGCACACATGTCAATGTTAACATTGGTAAACCACCCGAGTTTTCCTTGCTCAACAGCATGTAAGTCAACCAGCTGATCATCCACATGAAGAAGTTGCATGCAGCCTTGAAAGGAACGCCGAGAAAGACTTGGTTTTGTGTTGTTCAGTAGATCAGGGTAACCTGAAATAACAATATGAATATGAATTTTCTTGGTACAGATATATTCAGAAACTAACGATTCCAGAACATTTATATCATTACAATGTATTGCAGTAAATTATTTCAATTCTTCTTAAGGTACAAGATTCCAATGTTCAAACTTTAAATGAATTACTAACATGTTAGGTCACTTAAGACAAACCAAGAGTGTTAAATTTTAATGCAACATTCAGGTTATCAACACAGAAACTTTTACAGAAATGGCATTCATGCATTGAATAGAATACACAATATTTTAATGAAGGAGTAATATGGTCTGTATACACCAACCATACCTCAATGTAATTAGCTGAAGAGTCATGACGATGACAAGAGCCTTAATTAATTAGGTGTTATTACAGTATCCATTGATTTTAAAAATAGATTTAACATTTGAGATAACTAGTTAGCTGTTATAGTCTTGAGATCCCTTTATTGACTACAGAAATTACATTTCATAATTTTGGCGATATCATCAGAAGACAATACAACAGAAGGCAAAGCTTATTTGCTATACCATAGCTATGTTTTGGTTAAGGAGTGATCTGATTGATGTCTTCAAGATACTAATATGAAAATACAGATTGGGTAAAAATAAACTATTTCTACTGGTTGAAGGTTCTAGAACAAGGGGGCATAGTCTGAGAATTAGGGCTAGGCTGTTTAAGAGAGATGTTAGGAAGCACTTCCACACACAAAGAATGGTAGTTGTTTGGAGCCCATTTCCACAAAATGGCACTGGGCACTGTATCAGTTGTTAATTTTAAATCTGAGATACATACATTTTTGTTCAACAAAAGTATTAAGGGGAATGGGCCAAAGGCAGGTACATACAGTTAGGCTATGGATCAGCCATGATTTCCTTGAATGGTGGAACAGGCTCGAGGTGCTGAATGGCCACCTCCTGTTTGTAAGTTCCTGTGAAGCTGGAGATGATGGAAAGATGGTGGAATCGGATGGGATCCAACGACAAGGTCACAGTGCCCATGTCCACTGAAATGGCTACTAAAAACCGACTACCTTGCAGAGAATCAGGTGCTTTCCGAACAGAAGATCAGTAAAAGGAGTCCACCAAGGAATGGGAGAAGTTCAGGTTTGCCATATGGGAGGGTCAAGTAGTTTCCTGAGTTAAGTTTATCTGTTTCAGAATGAAGGCCACATCAATGTGTCTTTGTCTGCCTTCTTCACACGGTTCACATTGTCGGTCTGCAATGGGTCTCATACGCCCAATATTTTTGGAATCTCAAGCAGTGGAAGAGTGGATTTACTGGAACAGGGCTTTGATAGCAAAATACACAACTAGACTATCAGTTAACACCATCCAAAGGGCAGGTAGGTCAGGTTGAACCCAGCCAAGACCATCTTCAGCACCAAAAAGCACTGTCGTACAAGCATATGTTTAAAATACATGCCAACCACCTCCAGATGTCTGACAGAAGAAGTCATCTCAATGATGGCTAAGGATTTCTCAAGGAATGGTTAGAATACAAGAGAAAAGAATAGCAATTTATTGTCACATGTATTTTTACTAAACAAAATACAGTGAAAAGTTTTATATAAGTCGCCATACCATGTTATTGATTAGTACATGCTCTGTTCTTTATTCATTCACAGGATGAGGGGGTCACTGACTAGGTGAACACTTGCTGCCCATCCCTAATTGCCCAGAGGACAGTTGAGAGTCAACCACATTGCTGTGTGGCTTAGAGTCACATGTAGGCCAGACCAGGTAAGGATGGCAGTTTCCTTCCTTAAAGGATGTTAGTGAACCACGTGGGTTTTTTCCATGAATTGGAAATGAACTCATGGTCATGCTTAGACTTAATTCCAGCTTTTTATTGAATTGAAATTCTACTATCTGCCATGGTGGGATTTAAACCAGAATATTACCTGGGTTTCTGGATTAATCGTGTAGTGATATTACCACTAGGCCATCACCTCCAACAACAAAACCTACTGCCCAAGATAACTGTGATCCTAAACTTTTCCACAAGTAGATTACTTCAAGTCTTAAAGGGGGCATATGGATCATTTCCTGGGCTGCAACACATTGACACATACAGGAAGTGACAAATGTCCTATTCAGATGGACGAAGGAACTCGTTGGATTCTCACAGATGCTGATAGGCTGACTGCTATAGAAGTCAGCTTTGGGGTCATCACACAGTTCCAACAGGTACAGGGTATAATCAAATGCACACATGGTCATTGAGGTTCCCTGTGAATAACCAGCTGAATTTGTACAACAGAAGGAGCTTCATTCCCTTAAATTTCAACTTGTCTGTGACCGTCAGAATAAAAAATCTTGATGAGCGTTCATTTACCAGGGAGTTCTCATGATGCTTATATTTTAAATAACTCCAAGCTCCCACAGTTATTTGACGTCCCTGGGTTGGATAGAGTCATAGAGTCATACAACATGGAAACAGACCCTTTGGTCCAACTTGTCCACACTGACCAACTCTCCCAAATTTAACTAGTCCCGTTTGCCTGCAATGCCCCATATCCCTCTAAATCTTAACTATTCATCTACCTGTCCAAATGTATTTTAAATGCTGTTATTATACCCACATCTACCACTTCCCCTGGCAGCTCATTCCATATACGCACAACCTTGTGTGAAAGTTTTGTGTCTCAGGTCCCCTTTAAATCTTTTCTCTCTCACCTTAAACATATGTCCTCTCGTTTTGGACTCCCTTACCCTAAGGAAAAGGCCTTCGCTATTCATCTTATTTATGCCCCACATGATTTTATAAATATTGCCAAGGTCATTCCTGGGTGATCCTAGGTCCTGGGTGACAACGTCTAACCCCTCCGAATGTGGCTGTTTTCCTGGCTTATCTAATGATCAGTAGTTACACTACAGTACAAATGTGCAGAAGATATCAATACTTCTAGCATGTTCGCAAGAAGTATTCCAACATTTGTTCAGATATAATAACCAGGGCATTAGAAGCTGGTACAGGGAAATTTGCTCCCTCCAAAAGCTAGTTATGACCCACAGATTATGTGTAACACCAGTTTCATTGGTGGAGGCAATATCACATGAACATTACCCACTTCAGAAACTTATACAACAAATACTTTTGTTTATTCTAATTGTGTATCCACATCTACCAACCTCCATCCAGAAATCCTCACTGTACATGAGCTCTACCTCCCACAGCACCAAGAGGAAAGAGACAACACTCACATGGATGAAAAAAGATGACTCTATCCTGAGGATACTGCCGTTGCTATGACACTCAAGCCAATATGGCATCATGAGCCATTTCTTTGCTCTTAATCACATTATCAAGGCCAAAATTGCACAAACAGCAAATCATTTCTTGCGCTTGCCAGTGACCTCAGTCAATCTCTTTGTCATTTCCTTTATGGGAAGGGCTGCAGCTACTGACTATTTAACCACATTATATTGCCTTGCGAATACAAATCATGCCACAAACATGGGATGTCCCTCTGTCCCTTTCCTTCAGTAATGCACACCAAACATGAAGTGCAACAGATCAATTTTCAGGAACAAAAACAAAGTTGCTGGAAAAGCTCAGCAGGTCTGGCAGCATCTGTGGAGGAGAAAACAGAGTTAACGTTTCGGGTC